TGCTATCTTTTTCCGGATGTTCAGGCCTGTACTTCTCATACTTTTTATAAATGCTGATCACTTGCTATTTGCCTTTCATTAAGTTAAATTATTTGGTTTGTTTATTCTGATTTAATTCTAAGAATACCAAAGTATTAATACTTATGCTTGTATAATTAAAATAATGAACTATGTCTTTGGGTTTATTGCATGATTGTGTCGCAGTGTTGATAGTAGACATACATAAGTATGCTATTTACTTGACTAAAACTGAAATTATTCTTAAACATCATATGTGAGTTTGGCTATGAAGTGTGAAATCCTAAGTGGCTACAGAGTACAAGGACAAAGCAAATAGAAGAGACAAAATAACACACCACAAATAAATGCTGATGCTGCAAGATTCGGATTTTTTTTTTTCTGCTGTCATTGCGTATGCTAAACGCTGTGCTATATTGCGATATTACAAGGGAAGTGTGTGGTAAAGAGGCCTTACTATATAAAACCATGACCTAATTTACTTCCTGTCCACCCCTCCCCCGACTCTTCTCTTTCTCTGTATTTTGTAAATGGAAAAAAAAACATGACCTGATGCACAAAATGATGTCAAACAAATAAAAAAGTAAATTTGGGAGCTACTTTTCTAACATGTAGAAGTCTGCCGTATGAACCTAGCAAAAAAGCAGCTTTTTGAGCAGACTTTAGTGATTATCCTGCACTTCATATGGCTCTCCACCTCACCTCACACCTGCTGTTATACCCACTGAGAGAGCAGGTTCACTCGACTCACTAGCTGTGTGTAAAGTCAACGACCAATGACTGATCACCATTGTTCCCTACGACTGATCACCAGTGCCCAATCACTGATCACGACTGTTTCTACTGACCACTGAACACCATTGTTCCCGGCAACCAATCACTAGTCACCATTGTACCCAATGACCAATCACTATTGTTCCCAAAAACCAAAAACTGATCACAATTGTTCCCTCGACCAATCACTGATCGCCATTGTTCCTGTTGATCAATCACTGAACACCATTGTTCCCACCAACCAATCACTAGTCACCATTGTACCCAATGACCAATCACTGATCACTATTGTTCCCAAAAACCAAAAACTGATCACCATTGTTCCCTCGACCAATCACTGATCGCCATTGTTCCCTCTGACCAATCACTGATCACCATAGTTTTTCCACCTTTTTTCTTTGTTTTAAACCCTCTTCTTGGAGATATTTACAGTAATAAAAGTTATTCCATCTCTAACCATCTCCTTCATCTCTATTTTCCAAATCCTCTATTCTTGATAGAAATTATACTATTTTGTAAATATGTAAATAGTTTTGGTCCCATAACCAAAGATATTTCCTTTCTATAAGAAATAAGTTATAATCTGTTGTATAGTCTGATAAAACTATTCCATTTCATTTTAAATGTCTTCAGAAAATCTTCCTAGGTCACATAACACATTTCGATATGAAAGGATCATGACAATCCACTGAATATGCAAATTAGTCCATGACATCACCTGGTTACTTCTAGTGACTTTTTGAGCATGCATTATCTACTTTCACCTGAAAATAGTTTGCACCAAAGAGGTCACCTCTGGCTTGCTCATTAGAGATGTGAGGGATTTGTAGAGGAGGTGGATGCAAGTGCAGATTTTATTGAAGTAAAGTGCAGCCAGATAACCAAAAACAAATGCAAGTGATAGGAAACATGTGACATGCTGGGGCTGATGGGTAATGTAGTTCAGCCCCCCTTTGGCACCATCATGACATCTACATCCTGGTTTCTGTAAAGCTGCTTTGTGACAATGTGTATTTATAAAAGTGCAATACAAATAAAATTGAATTAAAATTAAGGGAACGTTTAGTTTGTCAGTGATCAACTCCAAGCTTGTAGAGTCAGAAACTTGTTAGCTTGCTTGACCTTCAAGCTGGATATGTAGTATACAGACTGTGTGTGTGTGACGTTTTTTGTGACAAATAGCATGCTGATCGTTATCTCTTTCTCACCAATCCACTTTTAGCTTCTGTTGACCACAAAAGTACTGAGGGTGGTTTTGTTTCTCATCATGGCCTGCCATCTTTCCCCGGATGTTCAGGCCTGTACTTCTCATACTCTTTATAAATGCTGATCACTTGCTATCTTGTCTTAATAGAATTGCTAATTTGCAATCCATTAAGTTAACCTGTGAGGTTTATTTATCCTGATTTACCTATGTCATCTACTTTATAATAAAGAAAACAATTCAAACAAATTCTAAGAGTTATTAATATTTAGCTTTGTCTGATTAAAATAATGAATTGTGTCCATCAGTTTATTGTGTGATTGTATTGCAATGTTGACAGAAGATTTAATGATGCTATTTGCTTGACTAAAACTGAAATTATTCTCATGCATTGTATGTGAGTTTGGCTATGAAGTGTTAAACGCTGCTCAGTTCTGTATCAGCTAAGGTGAAAACCGCAGAAGGGTTTCCTGTGGAGGAGGTGCTTTTTTTCCCTCTTAGTCACATTTCTTCAACTACAAACTGCCCCCTACTCAAACCACAATCTCTCACACTTCTAATCAGCTAATACAACCACTGCTGAGGTGACAGTTTCATTAATACAATTCTGTTCACAACTTGATCATCATCCTTATCATACTCTTCACCGTCAGCAGTCATGATCTCCCATTTTCTCCTGCTGGTTCTCGCCTGCCTTCAGTCATTCACAATGGCCAACAGTAAGATAAAGTCTGTCTTTGGATTTCTTATCTATTTTTATTTGTATTATTGTCTGTATTTGCTTAATCAAACTTAAGTTGGTGTGTTATTGCTTTGCACTTAATCAGGATTGTTGTGAATTCTGATTCTTAAAATTGCCAGTTTCGCTCTACCATGTCACAATATTGAAAGCAGAATGATAAAAATAGCTAATCTTCCATGCATGATGTATTTTTTCTTGCTTAGTAATGTGTCTGTTGTTGAATTTTGTAAAAACATATCAGGTTTAAAAATGGTATACACCCAAAAATCTCATGCAGGTTTAAATATATTCAGTTTTGCCTTTTTTTACTTAATAAGTTTAATAGTCATCTCCCCCCCCCCCCCCTCCCCCCGCCACCCCTTTTCCATTTGTTTTCATTAAAGTATGTAATATTTCATTGAATATTTACATAGTGACCGATGCATAGCTCATGTAGAGACAGATACATGTACATAGTTCAAGCAAACTACTATGTAAAGATAACAACCTTTATTTACATGTATGTATAAATAACATAATATCACACAGATGAATGCTGTGTCACATTTGCCAACTATCTAATCTGTAACATTCATTAAAGACTATAATGAAACAAGGCTTGACTGTACATATCATGGAGTCATGTAAGTTTTCACCACATAATCTTTATTTTTATTCATTTCAGAATTACAGTTGGTTTGTGACTTAGCTTACTGATACTAACTACAGTTCTTCTGGATTTTCTGAACATTTGTTTGTGTTGTCTGGATATATATAACACTGCTAACCCAAATTTTCTCTGTTCCTACAGTTTTTCCTTCTTTAATGGTCGCAGGGTGTGTGCCAACCCCAGCTCGGAGTGGGTGCGACGAACAATGAAAAAAATCGGCCGAAGCCTTTTGAAAGCCCAACGAGTGACTAAATCTATTTTTTTTTCTAAAATGCACCTTTCACCTACACTTTGTTGCTTTGCACAAGAGGTATAAAGATCATATTTGAACATAAATATTTGCTTAAATGATTTTGGCATTATATTGCTGATTTGAAATACAGGCTGTGGGCATGAATTCTTTTTTTTTTTTTTTGCATTAATTTATTAAAGTACATATGCATTACTCATTACTGCCATGTTTATGTTAAATAAATTCACATTGTAAAAGAAAACGTTGTTGTTTGCATAGAACGACACTTTAATAGCTACATTTGAATATT